TTGGTGGAATATTATGGGCCTATTTTAGTATCTCAGTCAGAAAACTGGTCTCCCCTTGCACAGATTTGGCATACCCTTGACTTTTGTTGTTGATCAGCCTTAGTAGAAGTAAGTGTAATGAAGCTGAAGCTGTGAATTACCCATGACAAAGGTGCACCATTGCTGTTGGCTGTATCGATGTGAAGTGGCATCAGGTTGGGCAACAATTCCTTCTTCTCCTAAAACAAAGTGAGCCGTATTGCTCAACTGATGCTTGAATTTCCTTGGGTTATACTCTGCAATCCTATGTACTATGAGTCAACAGAAGTGTACAAGAAAACAGATTTGCAATGTATGAACTAAGACGGTTTGATGATTCTAAATGTTTACTATCTTCCTCAATTTGCCAGGTGCAGAGTTTAAGTGCATAAAGTTAGAGGAAAAATGGTTGTGGAATCGGTCTTTACTTTGGCTTCTCAAATATGATTTCACAGAATCACAGAATCACAGAATCACTAAGGTTGGAAAAGACCTATAAGATCATCCAGTCCAACCATCCACCTATCACCAATGGTTCTCGCTAAACCATATCCCTCAACACAACATCCAAACGTTCCTTGAACACCTCCAGGGAAGGGGATTCCACCACCTCCCTGGGCAGCCCATTCCAGTGCCTGACCACCCTTTCAGAGAAGTAGTATTTCCTAATATCCAGCCTGAATCTCCCCTGGCGCAGCTTGAAACCATTCCCTCTGGTCCTATCACTGGTTATACGGGAGAAGAGGCCGACCCCCAGCTCGCTACAGCCTCCCTTCAGGTAGTTACAGAGAGCAATAAGGTCTCCCCTGAGCCTCCTCTTCTCCAGACTGAACAATCCCAGCTCCCTCAGCCGCTCCTCATAAGGCCTGTGCTCCAGACCCCTCACCAGCTTTGTTGCCCTTCTTTGAACACGATCCAGGGCCTCAATGTCTTTCTTGCAGTGAGGGGCCCCAAACTGGACACAGTACTCAAGGTGCGGCCTCACCAGAGCTGAGTACAGGGGAACAATTACTTCCCTACTCCTGCTGGTCACACTACTTCTGATACAAGCCAGGATGCCATTGGCCTTCTTGGCCACCCAGGCACACTGCTGGCTCATGTTTAGTTTTTATTTTCCCCATCCATGGTGGGGAGGTGGACTGGTGTTCATCAGCCCTTCTTTGTCACAGCAGGGTCCGGCTGAGGTCTTCAGGTGCCACCAACCCTGGTGCAGAAATTGCATTTGCTTGGTGAATGTTCCAGTCTGTTCCTACTAAAAAGCAAGAAATTGCAGCTCTAGAAACTCTGGGAGGGATCCATGGAGTCCTGGCTGTACGTCCTGGAAGTTCTACGTCGTTGTTTGTAGCTATTTGGTTTTTTCTAAGTCTCTTATGTTGACCTTTGGGCTGTCTGGGACATTTGGATTTGTGCAGTGAAGCAGATTTTTAAGAACTGAAATAAAGGATTCACTATTTTTTTGTCAGTTCTCGCTTCATTTTGTAACCTCTGCTATATGCAGAATAAACACTTGTGTAATACAGAAGTCTCGCCTGAATTGTAACTTTTTTTGTATTTGAGTTGGAAGAGACCATTAAAGGCCATCTGGTCCAACTCCCTGCACTGAACAGGGGCACCTACAGCTCCATTAGGTGCTCAGAGCCCCATCCAGCCTGACCTTGAATATCTCCAAATCTTTCTTTCCGGGTGCTGCCACTGATGCTGTGCCACCTGCCAGGACCACAGCCCTCCAATAGCCCCCCCATGGCCACGTGCTCTTAGAAAACATGGCCACTAACCTGTCATTCACCACCCTGTGCAGAGCAGTGGGCTCCCTCCCCAACCCACCCATGCTTTTTTCATCCTATTGAGAGTGCTGCCTGATCGGGCAGAACCAAAACAGCTCACTTGCAATATGAAGAGCAGGTAGGTTTGACCAGAGCTCACACCAAAACTAAATATGGATTGAAGTGCGCCCTGCCAGCACAAAGTGTGCATTGTGTGGCTTTGCTGCGCGATCCCCAGCCTCAGCTCCATGGCTGTAAGAATGCTGCACCCTCGCTTTGAGGACAAAACAAAGCAGCAGTGTCTGAAATGGAATGTGCTGCAGGTAGCGAGCTAAGCCTTCATCACCAAAGGCAGCGGGAGGATTAATTAAGCGCAAGAAGGCTGTTGCTTGGAGGGACTTCACAGGAATGCAAACCGAAGGCCCTCAAAGAGCCCACAACAAAGGGCAAAGCCATGCGCACTGCAGCTCGTGCCAGGATGAGCTCTGTGGGATTAAGGGCTTGGTCTGCCTTGCAGAAAGGGCAGGAACATCGCTGCCCTAGAGAGCAATGTGAGCAGGAAACAGATTTTCGGGTGGTTTTTCTTTGGTAGGGTGGATTAAAAAATTGCAGCGGTGCTAATGACATAAATGCTATATCTGATACAATCAAACGTGTATGAAAGTCTAAAGAGCACACGTAATTTGTTTTGAATTGTGGTTTGCTTCCAAATAAAAGACCATAAGCACCTGTTTCATTCCTTGCTTCTTTCTTGTTTTTAATTCTGATTTTTGTGCTTGGCAGGGCCAAGCCAGTGTGATCTTGGCAGCGCTGGCACTCCTGGAGCTGCCTTTAGTGGCACAAAGGGGTAGAGGTGAGACAAAAACTACTGTTTTTCAGATATTACAGTCAACATTTGTATGGGATCTATATGCCTATGTATAGCTGAAGCACCTGTACTGCTCGGCTTAGCTGTGGCTCTCAGCACAGCTTTGTGTAGTATGCATTCACCCTCAGCTTTCCACATCAAAACCCTGACTTTTCTGGAGCAAATATGAATCTTCACATGTGGCATGAATCATGCTCCAGAGCTCACCACGCCCTTCACTAACTGTTCTGTATTGAATTACTCTTGTTCAGGTACGTGCCTTATGTCCATTTTGGAAACGTTCAGTTCCTCCTCCCAGAGATCTGGAGATCTCCAGTATTCTTTCCACAAAGACAGCTGTAAGGAAGACATAAACAGCCTCATTTGAAAGCTAAGTTAGGCTGTAAGGAGCAAGGAGTGAAGGAGGCTTTTTAACAGCCCTTTTCTCTGCTCTGGAAGGATATTGAGCAGGGGATGAGGACTGGTGTCATTCCCTGACAGCCACAGCAGAAGATGAGCAGAAGACTACCCAGGAATGCAGCACATGGGTACAGTCACATAAGGAAACCCCACTGTTCTGGGGAGCTGTTTGCTGGGTAAGCTCTGAATTAAGGATGTAGAAGACTAGGAAATGTAATAGAAATGCACAGAAAAGAACTAACTTTAGGTTTGCTGGAATAAATGAGGCCCTTCTGAGGATAGAGGGAAATAGCCATATTGATTTCTCTCAGTCATTTCCGTAACAACCAATAGTGCTAGAAATTCTCTCCCACAACAACCTGGCTTTGTATTACCTACCATCATTGTCTGGATTCAGCCACAGCTTCTTATGTCTTTACTATAAGAAGTCAGGCACATTTCCTTTCTATCAAGTAGCAAATTACATGCATGGTTCTTTCTTTTCACCAGAGGATGGTGACACACTGGAGCAGTTGCCCAAAAAGGTTGTGGATGCCCCATCCCTGGAGGCATTCAAGGCTGGATGTGGCTCTGGGCAGCCTGGTCTGGTGTTTGACAGCCCTGCATACAGCAGGGGGGTTTTCAGCTCAGGCCATTCTACGATTCTATGACTCTATGATTCTTCTACTCATTCTACTCATCAGTCAAACTACGGCACCATTCCCTTATTTGAATTTGTGTAGACTTCCACTTGTACAGCATCCCATTTCTATAACATTTTCCTGAATCTTCTCAAAATATAAACCTCCTGGACAGTTTTCTAAAGTGGCCTAAACAAGCACAGGTAATTAGTCTTGGCTATCAATAATCCCTCTCCCTTCAACCAAGGTTTGAAGCTACCTTTTTCTGCTGCAGGGCAACACTGTCTAATTGTACTGTCTGCAACACGCTCTGGTTGTGTCCTTTGCTGTTTCAGAAACACAGCTACTCCATGATTAAGTACAGCTACTCACTTTATTATCTAACTTGTCTAGCACTCTACTGCGTGGAATACTTGGTTTTCTTTTCAGTACCGGCTTTAATTTCAAAGTCATTGGAGGCAGTCTCTGGTGCCCACCAGCTTTCTTTTTTACCTTTCTTTCTCAATAGGTAAATTTTTGAACTGATTTGGAAGTACTGTGTCATAAACTATTGATGTTAATTTACTGCTTCTGCATGGTCCTCCAAGCCTATGGAATAATGCTACCATTGAACAGCAGGCAAAAGTGTACCAAATTGTACTGTAATTTTAATAAAATTAAATCGATATGGAATTGTGCTAAAAATAATGGAATTGAACACTGACTTTGTTTAGAATATTATTATTAATCTGAAATCATAGAATTGCAGAATCACAGAATGGTTTGGGTTGGAAGGGACTTTAAAGACCACTCAGTTCCAATCCCCTGCCATGGGCAGAGCTGCCACACACCAGATCAGGCTGCCCAGGCTCCCATCCAGCCTGGCCTTGAATGCCTCCAGACATGCAGCCCAGAACACAGTTGGCCTTCTGGGCTGCAAGCGCACACTGCAGGCTCACGTCCAGCTTTTCATCTGCCAGGAACCCCAAGTCCTTTCTCCACAGGGCTGCTCTCAGTGAGTTCTTCTCCCAATCTATACTTGTGTCTGGGATTGCCTCCACCCAGGCGCAGCACCCTGCACTTGGCCTTGTTGAACCTCATTGGGTTCTCATGGGCCCACTTTTCAAGCCTGTCCAGGTCCCTCTGGATGGCTTCCTTCTTTCTATTATATCAAGTGCACCCCACAGCTCGGTGTCATCAGTAAACTTGCTGAGGATGCACTCAATCCCACTGTCTGTGTCATTGATAAAGATGTTGAAAAGCACAATAAACCCATAAATCAACAAACTGAGAATCATTCAAGTAACATTTTATTCACAAGTAAAAAAAAAAAAAAAAAAAGTAATACAAAGCAATTTATACAAGGTTTTAATTTACATTCTTTAAAGGATCATTTAAAACAGCACTGTAAGTCCTTAGATGTGATATGTGGGCAGTCAAAATGCAGTGGTAGTGTATGTTTTCTGTTGGCATGTACAACATTGCTTGCCACAGGCAATATAAAAAAGACCAATTTGGTTAAATTAAGGAAAGAAATATATACACAATATACATATATTTGAAAAGCACTCTTTTCATTTTTCCTCCCTCTTTGCTCCGAAGCCATCTGTCACTCATGTGAAGATAGGAGTCCTTCTATCTGGAGTTGCCGGACAAAAACATTATACAAAGTGTAAATTCCAATGGGAAAACATACTGTGATGGATGCTGGCAAAACTTTTGAACACAGTATTTTAAAGAACTGTTAAGAATGAGAAGTTAAAAATCCACATGTTCTAAAAATATCTTTCCATGTAATGAAATGCACATTGGATTTTTTTCTATTTACAAATATTTACAAAGAAGCACACATCTCTTCATGCACATTTAGTGAAAAATAATATTTCAACACTTCTTAAACGTGTGAAAGCATTCAAAGAGTTTATTCAAAACTATTCTTATTTGAGTATACACTTTTCAGTATTTAGTTATGTAATTATACTCCTTGTACAACTGAGTATATTATTCTACATAAGAGATCAAATAGGAGTAGTTACTGATTAAAATAAGCCCCTTATGTAGTTTCTTCACTTTGGTGTGAATTTGACAACTGTTAATCAACAGTTTTTGCACACATTAATAATCTCATTGATTTTGGCTGCCTATACTCAACCTAACTATTGTACAGGGTTTATCTTCCACCAGGTTCTTCAAAGAAGAAATTTCTTTCTGTTATGGAACATGACTGTCTCATCATTTCCACTGCCATACAAACCACGTGCAGAAAGATGAGTAACATTTAATGCAAAATTGCATTTGTTTTGCTGATTGCTTTGCTTTTGTCAAGGCACATTGGGGATTTCTACAGAATGATTGCTAGAGGCCACAACTAGCAGGTTGGAGCCTGTTGAATTCAGTGAGCCAGTAGAGGTTACAGGAATTACTCACAGAAGTTAAAATTATGTTAGGGAAAAATGGCTGCAGAATCCACAGTTTTACAGGAAGTGCTACAATAAACCACAGTCATAAAAGTCATAAAGAACAAACAGGAAAGAAAGTTGATATTTATGCTTGAGACCATCACTTTAGCAATGAAAATAATTCATTATTAGTAATAATATGTATGAATAGTTGTGTGACACACCTGCTGACTTTGAAGTGAGTTGACTACATTTATTTCAACATAAAAAATACACGTTATAACAACAAGTGCTGTGTTCCAACAGTGGGACTACCAGCAAAATAACATCCCTTTCTATACAGCTGACTTTCACTAAACCTAATGCACAGCTAATCTCCTGCTACATTGAGCAAAACAATGTTCCCTCTCACAAACAAAATAATTGGGTGAAAGGGACTTCAACTGTATCATCTGTAACATGCAAATTTTGTAATTCCCCAAACTAGCTTATTGACTACAATGTAATATATAATAAAAGCTTCAGTTTATCAATAGATGATCCTCACATAAATAGAAATGTTTTATTTTTAAGTCCTTCAACAGCAGGAAACCGAGTTAAAAACTGGAATCAGAAAACAATCTCAAATGCATGCATAAATCTGCAAGCAGAGTAACTGGCAAAGTCTTGTCCCAGGCCTTCTCACAGCTGCAGCCATATTTAAGGTAACCATGTAAACACGTTAACATATTTGTATTTCTTGATATATTTACATACATTTGTATGCTCACTCCATTGGACTTCTTGAGAATCTTAGGGACTAAAAGGTTCTTTTTTAATAAGAGATGCAAATGTTCATAAATCCACTCTCAGGGTTCTCCCAGGATGCTCCTTAAAGTTTCACTTTACAGCTGTTATGGCTCAGATGCAACTGCTTAGATTGTGTGAAATGATGCCATTATTTTCCAGCTGATTTTGAAACCGTGTGACACCGAAGACCAGGCTGTATTTGATGACAGTCAGCAGACGAGCATTAGGGAAGCATAATGTTTTGGTGCTGAGAGAAATACCTTGCTTTCCTAAATGAAATTGAAAGAACAGTGGTTACATAAACAAAAAAAATCTGTATGTGTTTTTATACATGATTAAATGATAAAAAAACCCACTGCTATATGTGAAAAGTCATGTAAACCTGAAGACTCTACCTGTATTATTATAACTAAGTGCACAGAGATAATAATATGCTATTGCCTTCTGATTATATCATATTGCCATTTGTTTTGCAATATAACAAAGTATAGACCTATGCAAGACTGTAATCCATCCACCTGCACTAAAAAGACCGTCCTTCTCTCAGAATATTTCAACAGGACACAAAAGAGCTTTTGACTTTTTCATCATGTTAAAATAGATATTTAGTCCCTTAAAAACTCAATTCATGTTCCATCGGTAGCTTCTGCAAAGTGTGCAATAGCAGCATCAAGACTTGCAGTCATTACCATGCCATTGTTCCTTCCTATATATTCCTAGAAAATGGCTGTCACCTACTGATGGCGTGTTCCAAAATGAGACTGTGACAACTGCTTCATGACACATGGGATGTTAGTGCCAGACATTGACTATTCATCTTCCAGCATTACACACAAAACGATTTGTTTCTAAACTGTAGGTTGTAATAATATATTGAAGAACATATGAGCCATCTAGATAAGGTCAATATTTTTAGTGATTGCAGTAGGTTTTCAGGGCAATATACAAATTCTACTGAAGTCAATAGCATACAAAACCTTGACTCAGTGCTGTTTCCTCTTCTTGGAAATGTCACATAAAGAATTAAGGTTTAATTTACCAAGAATTATGCACTTAGTGTTTCCAGGATATTGCATATTTTTGTTAAATACTAATTACTTTCTGCTTTTTATTTAAGAACAATATGAAAATGACATGCAAACTGAATGGGAGAGCATCAAAGGAAGGCCCTTTATTTCTGCAGATGACCTGAAATTTTCATAATTACAGGTAACAAATATTTTTAATTAAATTTGGTGGATTATTAATGTTATTAATATTAGTGGTAAATGTTCCTCTCTCTGACTACTGCAGCTTTCCAGCCACAGCCTACACAGCAGGTAGAATGGTTGAATAACACCACCAGTACACATGCCATACATGGGATCCTTTCACAGATTAGCTACGAGTTGCTCTCCTAGAATCACAGAATGGCCTGGGTTGGAAGGGACCTCAAGGATCATGAAGCTCCAACCCCCTGCTACAAGCAGGGCCTCCAACCTCCACATTTAATACTAGACCAGGCTGCCCAGGGCCCCATCCAACCTGGCCTCTAAGTTACTTCCTAATAGTAGAAAAAGGCATTTACAAACAACAACAAAACAAAATAGATCACAGATAAAATTCAAGATGATATGAAGATCACAAAGTAGAGTGACTTCCTGTGATGCTTATACTGTTATGTTCAGAGGCAGTAGTTTATTTCCATGTCTCATTTTGACCTGAGACTTTTGTTTGCACTGAGAATTTGAACACTGATATTTTACAGATTAAGCTGTATTCCTATTTTAGGGACAAACTGATGACATGGGAATACAAATGGCATTTAAGGTGTTTGAGATTCTCTACTGTTTCTGCCACTTCCTTAAGAACTTGACAGAAGGCTTTGTGCATATTTGTAGAGGAATGTTTGCATGTCCTTTATGCTTTGTTTAAGATAAGAAAAGACATTTTTGCATAAACAAGGACTAGCCTCATATAATAGTTTTGTCATAAGACTATTAATGGATATTGTTCCCCTGAAATGTAATTAATAATTGATAAAAAATGATTGGTGTACAGGCCTACCCCTGTGTTCTGGTTCATATTAGCTCAGCATTACAGCCTGAGTAATTACACCTTTCAAATTCAGTCATTTTCAAACATGAAACTCTTGGATCTTTTGTAGAGCTGTAACATATTTCAGGAGCATCTAGGTGTAACCTTTGGAGAAACATAACTATATACCCTTCCACAATTCTATTTTTATCTAGCTCTGCGTGCCTGGGGAACTCATTCTCACTCCTCCTTTGTAGTTGAATTTCTTACCTCTTTATCAGTCTGTAGAGTCATCTGCTGTTCCATTACACTTTGGCTCAGTTTCAGCAGCAGCTGAGTTCTGAAGTGATGAAACTTCTATATATGTTCTATGCTTGGATATTTCAAAGGACTTTGCAATGTTTCCATCAGGAGACTTAGCTGAAGTAAGTACATCACTTAGCTCCTGGTTATTATCTGACTCAACAGCACTTGCATTTTCAGTCTCCAGACTGCAGGATTTTGCAGCAACTCCAGCCAGTTCTGAATATGATTCACAGAAAGAAATGCTGTCACAACAAGCTGAGTTTTGCATCAGAGGCCAAGCATCTGAAATGTCTCCACAAGCAGAATGTGAAAGAGAACCAAGGAAGGCAGGAATCATTTCTCCAACAGAATCAGAAGCCCTACAAAAAGATAAAAGGCGTTCTGTTTCAAAAGCATTCCAGCAAATACTATCAGTATTGTAATTATCGTCATTAGTGATTACAGGTATTTCAGACAGATTAAACAGATTTAGTCAGTACTCAAGAGGCACCTTGACCAAAAAACTCTTTTGAAATGGAAGCCAGGCTGTCCTTCATCTGGAAATGAAGAGAGCTCTGGAGATTACTACTAGAGGTAAAGAGGATGCCTGAAGCCCTTCACAACATGAACTTGGATTCTAGGAAATATGAAATACAGTTGCAATGTTTAGTCTAAAGAACAAAAATGTGATGAAATGTATTTGTTCTTCGATGTGTGTGTGTGGTGAGGGGTTAAGACAGGATATAAAAAGCTCAAATTGCAGTAAGAAAGATTTTTGGGAAGACTGACAAGGATTTTTAATTGTTAGAATTATTTAGAAAACGGAAGAAAGCAGAAGTAGAAACTCAATAATCTGTCTCAAATAAAATGATGATACTGACATATCTCAGTGCCTGCACATCTCTACTGAAAGCCCAGAAAATGATCTACTAACACGTTTTATTTCAAAAACTTTCTGCAGGATTTACAAAAATGTACAGGCTATATCTGATATAAATTAATAATTTATGTGACCAAAACTTTTCACACATTAATATTGCCTGCAATGCAATTCAAGCAGCTTTACTCATTTCCACAGCATGTTTGAATAGCTTAGATAAATACACAGAGTGTTTTTGTAGATTGAGGTGAAAAGTCAGGACATTGAACCACAATTGAAGGAAATATGGCATTTTGGCAAAGGAAATTGGAGCAAACTCCATTTCTAGTGGAAGGAATCGAGTACCTTTGATGTATCCACACAGATATGTCATCTATTTTTAAAGACTGAACCAAAAGGATTCCCAAAAAGTACACAACTCTCAATTTGTCAGCCTTGGTAATATAAAAGGATGATTCAAACTTCCTGGTAGTTAAACAAGTTGTTACAGAAAATTTAGGTATTTTACATCTCCTACTTGGGTCACCAACCTGCCTTGCATAAACAATATCTATGAAGAAGCTGCTTCTACATTTTCAGTTAAATTTGGCCAGAGGAAGAAAACAGCTGGACACCCTATATGGTAAACATTAAACAGTTTAAAGAAATAAACAAATCCAGTGTTCAAATCTGTAACTAGGAAACTCTGCATGACACCATGAGCTTTATATTTTTAGCTCAAGGCATTACTATGTCAGTAACAAGTACTGTATTTATACTCAGCTGTTTAGCAGAAAATAATGATGGGAACTCTGAAATACTTAACATTTCAAGTTTCACAGTCACTTAGAGTTTCTAAAAAAGGGAAGATTTTCATGATGCTTCTAAACAGTATATTAATCCCCTTAGATTCACAGGTTTATACAGCACCTTGTTAACACAAAGCAGGAAAGGTCACCAAAGCCTCTATAGTACCACACAGTAATAGAATGGATGTCTACTTGTGAGAGAAATGGGTCACTTCTTCAGAGAAACTGATTTAACATGTCAGAATTTATTAAGTAATACTTAAACACTACATATTTTTTTCCTTATTTAATGGAAGGATTTTTAATCCATAAAACTATTTTTGCACAAAAGAGGAAGATATGGCTACAATTCATCAAAATCCAGTATTCCACTCCAAAGAGCTGCTGTATCCTGTGTAAATATTGACTTGATTGCGTACAAAATAGCTAATTTTTAATAGACTTACATAACATTAAATTACCTTTCATTAAGTGTAGTCTGTGAGTGCAAAGCACAACTGTGACTGCTGTGCTCCATGCTGCAGGTTTCATCACAACACAGTGAAGGAATCAAATGAACAGGCCCTAAGAATGAAAATTGATTTAATAGTGTTAAGTGCATTGAAGTTGTGTGTAAACCTGGCCTCTGTACTCTTTCAAATTTGAGTATTAGTTTACTAGTTACATTAAAATATATGGATTAAGGGAAGAGATCTCTTCTTGCAATAAATAGGTTAATTTTTTTCTTTAAAATAGAGTTAGTCATAAAAGCCAAATCCTTTCTCCTGAAATAATACAGATGCCTGCCATGAAAATCTGAATATCCATTCTTCAAATTAATTTGCTTTTGAATTAGGTGCATAGAAGAGGAAGTACTTCGTTCTGACAGTTAGCATACTAGGCATTTAAGCTTGTGTTTTAATTATGTATTTGTTAATATCATAAACACATCTGTTCTGACAGCACTTCACAAAATCCCAGTGATTCAAATTGTTCAGGTTTTCAGTGTCCTTTAGAACTGGTATCATGTTCTTACTATCTGTGAAATGCTTCATACCAGTTTAAGTCTCCAAGCCAAATGCAGTGCTATTTTTATCACAAAGAAATGAGATAGATAAGATATTTAATGCTTTTATATAAGTGAATGGTCACTGGAATGAAAACAACAAAAAAAAATCATAACCAAATAGCTACTTAGAAATTCTGTGTGCTTACTGAGAAATTAACCTAGGACAAGGGGTAGTTTGATAATGTTTACTTTGTAGTGAAAGCCAAACGTCACAACTGGAGAGTTAGATAAATGTTAATCATGAGTTCTTGTTGCTTGTATAACTGCTGTTCCTTGCAGTGACTTTTGAATAGAATTAACATACCACAGGTCTGTGATGTGCTTCTCTGGCACTGGCAGCATGTTCTGTGGTTGTATTCATTTAGCCGTGGTCTATCAAAACAAGACAATTCAGACCCATTGTAATGAATGTCTTGTGATCTCAGAGACCCTTTTGATAAAAAGAAAATATTTGTTAGTAAATGCTACTTCTTTTCCTTTACAGAGTCTCTATCTTCACAGAACACTTAAATGCCATAATACACAGCATTTCCATACATTTTCCAACCAAAAAATCCACCATGATGATGGGGTTTGATATAATGCATACCATAGGTTTTGTAACGAGCCCTAGAACAGCTGGTTCAACTACAGCCTCTCTTAGGAAGACATTTGCTCTTATTTTGGTGATGATTTGAAAGCATATCATATTCACTGTTCCATTTTCTCCATGGTTAATGATTCTCAGCGATATCAATCTGAAATTTTCTACATTTGGCTGCTTTGTTTATCTTATCTTAAAGGACTTGATATTAATAGCAGACTTCAGTTAGTCTGTATCATTGTAGGCCAAGACAAATGAATCACTAAATTTCACTAACTGAAGTTTGAGTTCACTATGCCTGAATTACTCAAAACTTCTATTGTCAAGGCTAAAATTTCATTTTAAATATGCCCCCAAACCAAAATCATTAATGAAAAACCTGCTATCCCCACTGGCCACATTCATTAACTCAGCAAGCTAATCTGTATTTCACAAAAGCATGTGATGCACAGATCCTTCATGATGGTATGTCTACATCAGTATTGCAATTCTATAATGGCATCCTAGCTTAGATTTCCAATGGTCCAAATATATCTGCAGCATTTAACAGAGTATGGTGCATAATGAGTGCAAAACTATTTCTGGACATCTGCACAGCATTTTCTCAGAAGAAGCAAGTACATCCACACTGAGTTTGCATACATGTATACTGCTAGCTTTCTCATCTCAATGATAAATTTGCTTAAATGCTATAGACATAACAATTCTAGGTTTTATTTATTTATATATGGAGAGATTTGCCAAGCAAATACTGATGTATAAGTATTACAAAGAAACAGTGATAACTGGAAACTTACAGCTTGGTTTCTTCTCCATGAACTGCCTCTTGCAATAGATAACACAAAGAATAAGAAGAGCCAAGAGCACTGTTGCAAGCGCACTGCATATAACTGCTGCTAGAGCAGTGTCTCGAGGACTGGAAGCAGTTGATGGGATCTTCACAAGGTTTACTTTAGTGGTACCTGAAATGTAATTAAATAATAATTAAGGAAAGCTGTGCAAATCAGAAATGTACAATCATATGAACGAAATTTGGGGTAACAGAAGAGGCTCTCAGCACAAGAAAAAAAAGAAAAAAAGGAATGTTTCATCTGCTAATGAATAAGCTTTATGTAGATAAATAATCAACAGCTACATTATTTATATATATATATATGCATATATATCAATATCAAAATGAGTGATAATGAGATGCACACAAAAGCACTCTGACTGCTCCTAGGAATGGAATCGGATCTTCACCATGAAAATGAAGACTTCTCAATTTTTAATGTCAAAAATGATTTTAACTATTTCCTAGGCTATAGTAGAGAAAGCTGTCCACTAGAGGGAGTCACAATTACATGAACTTCCATTCAAAAGATCCTTTTAGAGAACTAGAGGTGCCCAGAAGAGTTCTAATGCTGTCAAAGATATCATCTTGCTTGGTTGCATAAATTGTCACAGATTTCTAGAATCAAACCAAGGATTTCACCAGCATTATTATTATTTTTTTAATTCAGTGCTAATTCTTTTTTTTAATTCAGTGCTAATTTTTTAATATAAATGATATCTTTAGTGAAAATTCAACAGACTGACTTTATATCTGTGTTGTTGAAGGCTTATGCAACGTCTCTAGCTTTGACAAACATGACTTTCAAATGGAAAGTGAAAAAAAAAACACAACTGAAATCACTGAAGATTTAACTGCAACTACAGAAACTACAGAAAGTCTTAAATTGTAAATGATCTTTTTAAAGTAAAATTTTTTAACAACTTTGTACTCCATCTTTTTCAATCTACTCTGAAAGCCACATCATTCAGCAGCATCTTATGAGGAAAGGAGCACAAATATGAATATTTATCTAACAGTAAACTTTTTTTTTTTTTTTAAAAAAAAGAACCACACCACATTTTATTAACTTATAAAAATAAGTCAGACTGTCTATTTCCCCCCAAAATTCTTTTGTTAAAACCTAAAGACCATAATTTCCTAAGAAATAGTCCACACAGTCATATGTATAAATTGGAAAATAGATGTCTGCCAAAGTGTATTAGAATCACTAACTAAATTGTTTGTAACTACAAATGTTTGTTATCCTAGCTGCCTGTAAGAGTAGCAAGAAAGAACTTGCTTACTTTCTGACTTAGTGCAATCAATGGGATTGTATTCCTCAGGAATGCTTTTCTCACATAGTTAAGCTATTTCCTCTACACACATCAGACATCAGCACCAAAGCATTTAAAACACTCTATCACTTTGTTATCATGGTCAGATATTTTGCCAAAAATCTAGACCTTTTGAAAATGAACTTCTGTAACATCCAATTGTAAGACTGCAGACTTTATATCAAAGAAAATATCAACTCCTCAGAATCCAAATTTAAAAACCAAAAATGAAACCCATGCATTACATGAATGATTTGTACGACTATGTTTGACCCTAAAATCAAACGGGTGGAGAGCAAATTTGCACCTGATGTTTTTTGCATCCTTTTATTATTCCAAGTTGGACTGAGCAGGGCTTCTGGAGAGTCCAGTGAAGAGCCATCAAGATGATGGAGGGACTGGAGCAACTCTCCCATGAGGAGAGGCTGAGAGAGCTGGGACTGCCATAAATATTTGAAGGGAAGGTGGCAAGAAGATGCAGCCAGGCTCTCCTCAGTGGTGCCCAGTACCAGGACAAGAGGCAATGGGCACAAGCTGACACACAGAAGGTTCCCTCTGGACACCAGCAACACTTGTGTGCAAGTGGCAGAGCAGTGCAGATCTCCTTGGAGACCTTTCAAAGCATATGTGGCACTGTATGTGGCACTGGGCACCTTGCTCTGAGTGTCTCTGCTGGAGCAGGGATTGGGCCCAATGACATCCAGGTGTCCTTTCCCACCTTAGATATGCTGTCATTATGATTTATTAAAAAACAATAGATCTTAGAACTTATTAATACAGACGCTAAAATCTTCTACACAACTGAGAAACATATTTTGAAACTGTCTACTGTCTACTGAAGCTTTATTATTTTCTTTATTATATCAAAAGGTCTATTATTTCTATTTCAGCTAATAGAATACGATTCCAATCCATGGTTACAGGTAATTTTCCTTCTTAAAAATTAGTACTTGCCCTTCTCCTTTTTTCTATAATTCCAGTTATTCATAGAGTTAAGTCCTATGATTGCTTTTCCAGACCTTCATTGGTGTTCAACATTACAGTCTTTCAGAAAGAAAAGGTTTCACGCAGCCATGTTTGCTGGGTTTGGTGTGAAAATCATGGATATCAGATTTTCATTTTTATACAACTAGCTGATTGAGTCCTTAGAAGGTTACAGAAAGTCAGGACAAGTATTTAAAAACATGAAAATAAAAAATTATCAGAATGTCTTCAAATATTTTTCATGTCAGTCTATCTGCATGCTTCAATCTATCTACCTAAAAGCACTGATCACTTCTTAGAAATTAACCTTCATACCTTTCATTACCTTTCAGTTAATAGAAAAAAAAAGAATTGTTATTTCTGAAAGAATGAACAGAACAAATCACTGGATGTACAGCTGCTCTACTTTTGACTTTCTTCCTTTGCACACAAAACAAATTTATTTGCAAGTACAATAACGTATTAGATTTTGTTCTGGGAAACTGCAAATGATACACATTTCTTTAAGTTTCATCAGCAGCATCCAAACTGGAAATACGACCTTATTTTAAATTGGGATGGCAAAAAATGAAATTTATTTTAGTCTGCCTACTTAAGATTTATTTAGCTGATTTTTTTTCTTTTTTTTTTTGTCTTGAGAAAGCAATTTTCAATTCCTGAGAATGTCTACCACTCTTCTTCACCTTCAAAGAACTTTTTAGAATAGCTGCTGTGAGCAGTCCATTGTACTTTAGCTCTAATTATAATGATAGTGATCTTCCCTGCAGAGACCAACATTTTAGAAGTGGATTGCTATTGTAATAGCGGCCCGTTGGGCATTGCTGAACTTTGCTTTCAGTGTTACTCAGATATGTATGCATTTTCATAAACTCTCACTTTTCAGGCTCACAGACTACATGGTCCCATTTTAGTAAAGTAAAGGTGTACTTTAAGCTTGTACTTACATCTGTTAAATGACTAACTTCAAATATGTAATTAAGCACTGAATTGGACAGGATACATTAAGAAAGGAGGGAGGCGGTGCATAATTTTATAATTCTTGAAAGCATGTGCATATTATGCATTTAAAAAAAAAACAAACAAGAAAAATGTATTTTATTTGAGAAAAAAATCTAATATTCTAAGTTTAGTTTCAACATATTCTGAAAATGTGCTTGTGCTAAAAAAGAATTAACCAAAATTCCATGCTGCCTCCTGCATAACTTTGAGAAGTAAACCCAATTATGTATTCTATCCTCAATTAAGGAATAGTACCTTGTAATGTCAGTGTGCAAATACGTGGTTCTTAAAAGCAAATGAAGTTTTTGCTAAGATGGTTAAATCGTAATAGCTCTGCTACTACTGAACATACAAATCCCAATCGTATCACTATAAATTCTGCCAACAAACAGAACAGTTGAATTTTCAGTCAGTCATATCAAGTAACCGGAGTCTGGGCAAAATGTAAAGATACTTCCATTATTATTTATTTCGTACTTATTTTCTTAGATTTGTTTTTTTCCTTAGAACTACAACCAACTACAGCCACTACTGAAATCAGTATGCCAGAAAAAAAATAATTCTGTGGTAGATTAACCATCTGAAATCAGAACTTGCAGCACTTTACATTCCTTCCATGGATACAATACATACTTGCTAAAGTTGGGGATGATAAAACATGGAATTTTATGTCTGGGTTTTCTTTGGAAATTACTATTAACACGTCGAAACAATATTAACCTCAAGAAGGCTTACTCATTAAGACACAGCTAATCAAAACTCCACTGAAATAGCATTCACATGATAACATGGTAACAAATTGCCATCTTTTACAATCAGGACTGAAAATAAGATACGAAAGTAAAATAAAATGTGATTTAATTTCTGGAATATTGGTATCTCTACCCAAGAAAGAAGAAAGGAGCATTTGCCCTATTATAAAAAGTGTTTGTTCACTACCTTTACATTGATTTACTCTGATTGATTCAAGTTGGTGTATCAATTTCAATTTGACCAGAATTAAGGGCTCAGGCATACCCTCAAGCTGCAACAGTTTAACAAGCTATTGCCTGTCAGTGGAAGTGCAGCATCTATCTGTGTGACTGCTCTTGATCCACAAGAAACACAAAGTAGTGTGACGTGACATTCCTTCATTTTGAAAAAAGTTTGAATGATGTTTATGTTCATTTAGAAGGAAAAAAGGAATGACTTTATGTAGTATACCACCCAGCTGCCCAACAAGAAAACGATGTCTTATGTATAAACATATGAATATAACTAGTACAAGTATTACATGTATTATTTGTATATATACATAAAATCCATTTGTAATATATATCACTGTGCAGTAACATCAATGGAAAGTAAGATGTCCTGAGTATACTCTTGAGTCTTCACAAGAGAGAATATTGCCTCCCTTCTCCAAAACTTTCATGTAAGAGGAAAGGGCCTTTATTAAACAGTACTGCTGCAGACTGTGGTAAACACTGGAGAGAATCTCCCGACAGCTGTAAAAGGACGGCCATTTGCGTGCATGGCCTACGCCCAAAAGTTCACTGTGTCAACCCACATCTTTCAAACGTACAGCAACTGCTGACATTAAAGCCTTTCCAAGTTAGTGCCCTGCATTTTTTTTGTTTTGTTTCATTTTGTTGTTCTTATTCTTTTTAATAAACACACCAAGCAGCCTTAGGGGAGAAAATGACTATTCAAGTGTTTATCCTTTGTTTGGAAATCCTGAAAAATGTGTTTATAAATTTAAATTTTGAAACCTGATGTATTCATTTCCAAGCTCATTTCAGTTGCACTGCACATTTTACAGAACTCCAATTGTTGACAACCTTTTATGATT